ACTTTTAACTCCCCTAACATTTTACATTTGGACGTGTAGAATGTTATGTAATCAACTAGGAATCATTCGGGATGTGTGAAGAAAAAGTTATTTTTCTTTTAAACAACGTAAATTTCACAGCTCTAGTGCTGGCTAAATATATATCAGTCAGTCGGGATGGCCACTAGGGGTACTGATGGGATTTCTCCAGTTTCCTCTTTCATTAGATGGCGTGTACATATAGTCTATGTACTTTTACTAGTTACTACCATATTTAGGACAAAAATAGAAACACTACTTATGTTTATAACTAGTGAAACATAAATTCTACAATTGCATTTCGTTTTCAAATCGCATCAATCATTTGAGGGATTTCTTTCCCACACATTGTTTATACGTACTTTTAAGACAGATATACTTATATTGGGATGTTTTAAGTCACATGTTACTTATTGGCTTTTGATAATAAATGAATAAAATAGAAAATAAAATTGTATTTAAATTATAAAGACCAGTGAACATGAATAATTTTATTCTTATGCACTTTGATTCTTTATATTGTCACTAGCATATTTCGAAAAAAATATTTTTATTTATCTATTTGCTTTCAAATGTCATTAATTATTTGAGGGATATAATATTCATTGAAATAAACACATCAATGACCCTTCTCTATAAAATTAGTAAATGAATTATATAAATGATTTTTTAACTTTCATTAACCTCTCACCGTGCAACACACTAGCACATCTGCTTGTGCTCAATAACTTCTCATTAGATACTTCACTTTGACTGGAACTCTACAAGCTAACTAACTGCTTGTTCGTATTTACAACTTATGTTTATATTAGTCTAAGTTACTAGATTATTGCATCATCATCATTAGCTTCCTCTAGCAAAAAACAAAACAAATTACAATACAGCTTACAACAAAAATGTAGCTTACAACAAAATTTTATACTGTGAAGCCGTGAAACAAAACAAAATGAAGGATATATCGTGAGACATGTCATAAAAAAAACCAACTGGCGCATTTCATTAAGGTTTTTCAATAGTTGTCGAACCTCTATTCCTGAAAAATTAGCAATAGTGATATATTACCAATTTTTAAATAATCTTTAGCAATCCTGTCGGACGGTAAAGACTTAGAATTTCTTTTGTTTTATTTTAATATTTTTTAACTTCTACCTTCATCAACCTTTCGTTAAAGTAGTATTTTATACCAGTAACTGATTTGCAGTTTTATTTCTTGGAACAAACAGATCTCATCAAACTGAGAATCAAGAATTTTCTTTCATCTAAGAATCAAATGGTTATTTCAGTGATTAACAACTTTTGATAACGAATATATTAAGCATTAATCATAATTAATACATAATAAGTTCTTTCTTCACAGACAATCTTTATTATTCTTTTAATTTCCAATGTCGAATTACTAAGATGGTTATAGAAAACTTGCATATAATAAAACTTTATTTATGAAATTTATTATATGGTCGTAAGATAACAAATAAAAACCCACTTTTCGTCGATTACACCAATGCTAATTGCAATGTCCGTGTTTTTTCAAACACAGGTTGAAATTATCAACAAAGTAATTGTAATAAGTGGTCTACCAAACTTTGATCCCCTGTAAACGGACTTCACCAAATGTTCGAGATCCTAAAAGAAATGAGAAACTCAAATGATGTTTTAAAGTTTAGAAATTCAAAAAACCTTTGCTATAATTGTGTTTGTGTGTGTAGATAGCTACACAATGGGCTATCTGTACTCTCTCCATCAGGGGGAATCGAAACCAGACTTTTTAGCGTTATAAGTCAACAAATTTCCCGTTGACACATCGGGAATCAATTCTAAGGTTGTTAATTTAGAAAGTTTTCCTCATTGTAACAAAGTTTGAAGACTTTCTTGGCTGATACATCTTGGTAATGATATTTATAACTTACATAAATACTGGTATACTCACACATAAACACCGTCCCTGAAAAAATAAAAATTCTGAAGCAAGACCTATACTTCGTAGCTCATAAGACCTATTACACTCCCCGACATGAAACCATAATAAATACAATGTATTTTTACGGCATTCCAATTTATGACATCTGTTTGTTTGTTTTGGATATTCGCGCAAAGTTGTATATAAGGGCTACTGCATTAGTCGTCCCTAATTTGAGCTGATAAATTAGAGGAAATACATTTAGTCAACTGCACCCACCGCCAACTTTTGTACTATACTCTTATCGAATAGTGGGATTTGACCATTAAATCCTATGACACATCATCCACAGTCCTAAAGCGCGGAGCGTTCTTTTACGCCAACCGGACGTGAGCATGGACCCTCGGATTCGCAGATAGGCACGCTAACCAGTAGCTTTTTCAGATATCATTAAAACTTTTAAATCTTAAATCTTATGATTGTTTGGAAATGTAATAAAATCCTTCTTACAAGCTAGTTTCTAAATTACCAAGATTATTATTTTCGTGCACCCCTTTTTATTATTTGGAATTATTTCATTTTGTTTATTTCAAAGTTTTCACGTTCTTTCTTGAACATTTCCTCAGGCGAAGGAAATATTTACATCTATATGACCATGAATATTATATTTTTGGTTGTTTTATTTTTATCAGCCCCCCAGTGGCACAGCGGCATGTCTGCGGACTTACAACGTAAGAAACTGGTTTTCGATACCCGTAGTGGATAGAGCATAGATAGCCCATTGTGTAGGTTTGTGCTTAACTACTAACAAAACAAATTTTTTATCACTGGGGTATTTAAATTTACACACCATTAAGTTTGATTAAATTATAATATTGTTGCGTCATCGAGGTCACGTGACTGGTGTGGCGCC